ACGCAATCGTAAATTTTAATGGCTAGCTTTGTTTTTAAATTTTCGTTTGTTGTAAGATATTTCACATAAGAACGCGTACCCCCGCTAAACTGTTCCCGTACCCCTGGGGGTACGCGTACCACACTTTGGGAAACACTGCTGTATGTAAAGTGATTTATATTTTACTTGAATTAATTCTTACTCTACGAGATTCAAATATAAAACGTGTGGCATATAGCAATGACTTTCCTCGTTTAGATGCACCAAAATACAACAAAAATATTGATTTTTAACTGTTGAAAATAATCATGTACAGACTATTGTTTTTAGGCTTTTTCACAAAGATTTTTTTAAAACGTTAGACTTTTCTATGTTTTCACGCTATAAAAATGGGTTAAAAAAATACATCATTATATTTTAGCATATTATTACCCATTCGCTGGCATTTTGTTAATAAAATGTGTTATAATTCTTCTTAAAGTATTATTTACACAAACGTGAATTGTGTTCTGAATAAGAAATGTGGTTTAAATTTACCTAATTTTATAGAGGCGACTTATCACTTTTAGAAATGCCGCATAAGGCATAAACCAACTAAAAATCAAAACTAACAGTCTTTACTTTTATTACCTTTTTCTTTCGTCAAGTGTTTTTAATCACCAATAGATTAAACCAAGTTATCAATTATAAAACAAAAGTGATCATTGCTTTTTATATTCGTCAATAACCTACAAATCGAATCGAATTTTATCTCAAATTTATTGATAAGAACATGCTCGCAGAATACATTCGAATGCATTGTTATGGAAATAAGTAACATTGTAACAAAAACACAATTATTTAAAAACAAAAGTAATGGTATTACGCTATTATTTTTTACCCTCATTTATTTTTATGAAATTTTTAAACACGAGGCAGACGCCGATTACACGAGCTCATAACAAATCAAAGAATTTAACATCTTTAAATTAAAAAAAATAGTATTAGGGTAATTTATTTCCAACTCATTTCCGTCGTATTTAAAAAGACAAGAAAGTAAAGAACCAAAAAGAAATTATAACCAAGCAATATATAAGGAAAAGCATTACAACTTTTAGATACCATTTCCAGGAAGATTCAGGTGTTCAGTGTTTAATTAAAAGATTTTTAAAATCTTCTTTGAAAAACATTACTGAAAGTGATGGTAAATGATTATATTAGCCTTGAAGTTTCTTAAAAATTTGGCACTTACATCAAGCCGTTAAGAAATTACCTCCCCTAACGAGAATTTAAGCCCTCCTATTTCTCAGCTATGTTGGATGGGTCTAATTCTTATTTCTTCATGTTTTCCAGTTGAAAACTTCTAGATTAAAGAGGAACTTGAAAACAACGATTAGGTTAAACTTATATATTTTTGGGGGTGGGGGAGAGAATTGTAGATCAAGATGAAAGGAGATGACTTCTTACTGGTTCTCGTGTATAGATTAAAGCTTCCAGACTAAGACCATTTTACATCAGTGGTGACCACGTTTTTCGCAGAGATTTTATTAAAATTCTTGTAATCATGTGCCAAAGGAAAGTTACCATGTGTGTTTGTAGTTTATATCGTTTAGAAACAAATTAATTTTGTTCTTCACTCATGTCCTTTCCATATGGTTCAACAGAAAGTGAATAAAAAGCCTATCACGTGAATAAGCAAAAATTATTCGCGGTTCATATTTTACTTATAATATAGTTTAATAATATTGATTTTCTGCATTTTCACTGTTCGACTTACTTTTTCTGATTATTCACTGATCGCTTAGGTTCCGGATGACAAAAAAGGCGACTTTTTTAACATCAAACATGCAATAAGCTATAACTTCAAAAGGTGGAGTTTCCAAACTTTTCGAAATTGAGGAAACTTAACGAGATTTAAAACTGTCTTACGGTCCTCCATTCTTATTATATTTGCCTGCGGTATAATATATTTTACACACATATATATAAGATGTTTAAGACTGAAGCAGAAACTGTGAGATAAATTAGGGAGAATATAAAAGTACTTAACGCACACTTAAAATTCACTTAAGCATTAAATTTGTTATGAAATAGTTAAGAATTAAATGCTTATTTCATTTAACAAATGTCAGTCTTTTGACCACTAGGTGTTTTCACAGATTGCGGGTTTTCCAATGTTTCTCTACTCGACTTGAGAAAGATGGCAATGCATGGCACTAGTCACAAATTTTCCAATGTTTCTCTACTCGACTTGAGAAAGATGGCAATGCAGGGCACTCGTCACGGGTTTTCCAATGTTTCTCTACTCGACTTGAGAAAGATGGCAATGCAGGGGCACTCGTCACGGGTTTTCCAATGTTTCTCTGCTCGACTTGAGGAAGATGGCAATGCATGGCACTCGTCACGGGTTTTCCAATGTTTCTCTGCTCGACTTGAGGAAGATGGCAATGCAGGGCACTCGTCACGGGTTTTCCAATGTTTCTCTGCTCGACTTGAGGAAGATGGCAATGCATGGCACTCGTCACGGGTTTTCCAATGTTTCTCTGCTCGACTTGAGGAAGATGGCAATGCATGGCACTCGTCACGGGTTTTCCAATGTTTCTCTGCTCGACTTGAGGAAGATGGCAATGCATGGCACTCGTCACGGGTTTTCCAATGTTTCTCTGCTCGACTTGAGGAAGATGGCAATGCATGGCACTCGTCACGGGTTTTCCAATGTTTCTCTGCTCGACTTGAGGAAGATGGCAATGCATGGCACTCGTCACGGGTTTTCCAATGTTTCTCTGCTCGACTTGAGGAAGATGGCAATGCATGGCACTCGTCACGGGTTTTCCAATGTTTCTCTGCTCGACTTGAGGAAGATGGCAATGCATGGCACTCGTCACGGGTTTTCCAATGTTTCTCTGCTCGACTTGAGGAAGATGGCAATGCATGGCACTCGTCACGGGTTTTCCAATGTTTCTCTGCTCGACTTGAGGAAGATGGCAATGCATGGCACTCGTCACGGGTTTTCCAATGTTTCTCTGCTCGACTTGAGGAAGATGGCAATGCATGGCACTCGTCACGGGTTTTCCAATGTTTCTCTGCTCGACTTGAGGAAGATGGCAATGCATGGCACTCGTCACGGGTTTTCCAATGTTTCTCTGCTCGACTTGAGGAAGATGGCAATGCATGGCACTCGTCACGGGTTTTCCAATGTTTCTCTGCTCGACTTGAGGAAGATGGCAATGCATGGCACTCGTCACGGGTTTTCCAATGTTTCTCTGCTCGACTTGAGGAAGATGGCAATGCATGGCACTCGTCACGGGTTTTCCAATGTTTCTCTGCTCGACTTGAGGAAGATGGCAATGCATGGCACTCGTCACGGGTTTTCCAATGTTTCTCTGCTCGACTTGAGGAAGATGGCAATGCATGGCACTCGTCACGGGTTTTCCAATGTTTCTCTGCTCGACTTGAGGAAGATGGCAATGCATGGCACTCGTCACGGGTTTTCCAATGTTTCTCTGCTCGACTTGAGGAAGATGGCAATGCATGGCACTCGTCACGGGTTTTCCAATGTTTCTCTGCTCGACTTGAGGAAGATGGCAATGCATGGCACTCGTCACGGGTTTTCCAATGTTTCTCTGCTCGACTTGAGGAAGATGGCAATGCATGGCACTCGTCACGGGTTTTCCAATGTTTCTCTGCTCGACTTGAGGAAGATGGCAATGCATGGCACTCGTCACGGGTTTTCCAATGTTTCTCTGCTCGACTTGAGGAAGATGGCAATGCATGGCACTCGTCACGGGTTTTCCAATGTTTCTCTGCTCGACTTGAGGAAGATGGCNTCTCTCTCTCTCTCTTACTTCTATATATATATATATATATATATATATATATCAATTGTCAGAATTTCTACTTGCAGAGAATAATATTCAATAGCAATCAATCAAAAATTAAAGTAGACAAAGTTTAAAGAAAAGCTGACCCAAAATTTTAATATTCAAATTACAGTGATGGAAGCATTAAACATCAGAAATACGTGTAGCTTCTGCACGCGTGAAGAGACTTTCTTAATTTATACTTATGGCAAAAATAAGCATTTAACTGCTTGAATCCATAAATCAAGTTTTTATAGATATCTGCATATTTAGAATTAGAGTCTAACAATAATGGATTCTTAAGGATCGTTGAATTTTCACCCATTGTTTCACTCTCATCAGAAAGCGATCTCCATTCAACTTCAATTTCGAACAAATCAAAGATTTTTTTTTTTAAATAAAATAAGAACACCACTTAACATTTCAGATCGAAGGACTGTCAACCCTGAAAACCTCTTTCTAAATTCTCATGTTGCATGACATAATGCCGTTCCCTAGAGGGGGAATGTGAAAATTCAGAAAACTGGAGTACAGTGAAGTGAGAAAAGCCTGTTGAGAGTAGGAAATACGTCTGAACGCATTTGCGTAGAACATTTTCTTTTTCAGGACATTTCTTTATGTTTAACAGGAATCCTAATAATTTTAAATTAAGCTGAATGAATCCCTAGTTCTCGCACGGTTTCAGGGAGGAACCAAGATCCCTTTTTGGTAAATCAGTGGTAGGAAAAACTTTTTTTTTTGTAGTTAACTGCAGCTGCTTTGTTACAAATGCAGTAAACTTTATTTTACAGTGAAACCTCCCGGAATGACCACCTATATGAAACGACCAACTCTATTTACGGCCATTACTCGGAATTTTTTTCATAGATTTTGTGTTGAAGAAAACCTTTACGAGAGACCATGAAAAACTCTTCCATCAGCGAAAGAGGAATCCTTCACTCCAAAAGCGGTAAAGGTTAATTAAGGAAACACAAAAAAATATCAATGTAAAAATTTCTAACAAAACAAATATCATAAATGGATTGAAATGTATTCAAAATATATGTGAGTGGCTCCTATTTAGAGAGCTCTTTTGGAAAACCGCTGAAAGAGATCTGCAACCACAGAGTGCGCTAAAGACGATGCTATCAATGATTTATTTTCAGATTTGAAAGTCAAATTAGAAAAAAAGTTGTTTTAAAAAAATTAAGCATCTCAAATACACAAGCATTAAAGCTAACTAATTTTTATGATATAAAATTAAATGCTGATTTAAGCGAAGAAACATAATTGTTCATTTAAAGTAGTTCTATCTTTCATAATTGGTAAATTTGTTTTTACACATAATTATATCAGTAGCGATCATTTTCATTGACTGAAGTTTGTTTATTTATCCGGTTTTCATGACGTCCATACAAGTAGCATTTTCGCACCAATAAAATGACACAAATAAAATTAAAATCGTCTTCTCAAAATCATGTCCCTTAACATTTTGAAGTCAATGGAGGTAATCCCTAAGAACAACCAACCTCCATTAACGGCCATTTTATTGTGGAACAGAAAGAGGTTGCACTATATGTAATATTTTCTTCTGTTTTACTCATGTTTTTTTCCAGGCATATATTGCATGTTTTTGGGGTGTTCACCACGTTGGTATTGTCACCCTTTTTTTCGGTGTCGGCGGCACAATCATGTCTCTATTCGTGGGACCATTGGTGAAGTACATCTCTCAGATAGCCGTGATCATTTTAGGAGCATGTCTTAATGTAGCTATCTGTTTGTTATTATTTCTATGGAAACCCTCGCCAAAGACAACTGGCATTTACTTTGTCATAGCAGGAATATGGGGAATGGGAGATGCCATTTGGTGGTCGCAAATACCAGGTGAGCGAATTCGAGAAAATGTTTGTAATGTTTAGAAAAAAGATAAGAAAATAACAGCAATCATTTTATGCCTTTGAAAAGATAAATTAAATTAATGCTTCCATTCTTACCATAAAATGTTTTTTTACCCCTGAAGTTTTAAAGTTTTCAAAATGTCTAAATATTTAAGTTGTTTTCCCGTAACGGCAGGAACTGAATTTTCGTTCTTCTCCTTGCAAGATGCCGGAAGTGTTGCTCATTTAACGTTACCCAGTGGGCACCTGTGAACCTAAGTCACGGAGGCGAGCAACATTACCCACGCCACACTATCACAAATACCCGCTTATAGAGTGGGGCACATTCACACACAACAGTTGACAACACATAGAGAGAAACGTGCATGCTTAAAGCGGGATTCGAACCCGCAGCCATTGGCTTCGCAGTCGGGCACTCTAACCGCTCGGCCACCTGACCGGCATTTAAGTTGTTACGTTCTTAATTTCAATTTTATTGACCGATTTTTGTTGAAATATCATCTTAATATATATTATAGAGAGCCAATTTGATTTTGAAAGTTTGAGCCATCCCGTTCATAAATTTTATATCTTTTTATAGGTCTTTTATATCTGATACTTCTCTGCAGCTTTTGTTACTGAAGCCGAAGCTTCCAGTTTTTACAGAGATTAACCTTGATCATAATTAAATCATTTTTGATAAAGTTATTTTTCTTTTTCTTAAATATTTGCAGTATGTAATACATACGCTAATTTCCCTTAATTGTTGACCTAAGACTGTAAAATTATAAATTAAGAGCAGTGATATCGAGAAACTGTATGTAGTATGCGCTACTGTAAAAGCCCGAAGTCTGGTAAATCCTGAGTTTTATCGATAGAACCAATGATTTACCAAAGTGGCTAATTAACTCCTACTTTTTACAGCTAAGACTTGGTAAAAGGCTGAAAAAGAATCATAGTAAAACTTTCTTCAAACATTGGTAAAAGCCGATAAAATCTAGCATTCAGCAGACTTCGGGTTTTTACCGTAACATATGTAACATATGTATTTAATATTGTTTCTTGCATTCAATAAACGGTGTATTGGTTAGTTTTATTCAATAGTTTTATGTTCTTTTTTTTAGCCCTCTACGGACTGATGTTTCCAAACGATAGAGAAGCTGGTTTTTCAAACTTATATTTCTGGAGCTTTTTTGGAGCTTTTCTAAGCTACTCTTATGCTAATTACCTTTCTATTTCTGTCAAAATAAATATCCTGATGGCTTCCCTACTGATTAGTATGGTCTGTTACCTAGTAGGCCAGTTCAAGATGAAATGTTCTGCACGGAGAGAATATATTGCAATCGAAGGTGATTAATAATAGCAAACATTTTAGAATCTCAAAGCTGATGTTTATCAACATTCTTGTACATAGAAAAAGAGCTTGTAAATAACGATACTTGGTGTGACATTAATAAAAATAAAAATCATCAAATTCCTTGTACTTATTGTAGTGTATGTTTAAAAGATGGAGCATTTAGGTTTCAAATTAGACTAATAGCATCACTTTTGAGCAGTGTATATGTTACCGAAATTATTTGTTCTACAGACTATCTAGTTTACGTGCAGATTAAGTAGACTGATTCCTTAAAGAGTCGAAAATTATTTTATTTCCTGAATTATCTAGGTAGGTAGCAAGGTAGCACATTACCTACTAGACATTCATTAAAGTGAAAATAAGATATTTTTTTAGTTCTTAAATTAACAGAATATTTTCATACTTAAAATGCTTAAATTAATGTTTTTTTTCTTCATTATTTATGGAATTGAATTTATTGAATTATTTATTTAATTTAATATTTGTTTATTTTTCGATATCGAAAGAATCAAGCTATGACAATCAAACAGTCAACAAATTTGTTAATGCTGATGGATTGAATCATCAATCTCTAATAACTACAATACAGAGAATCAAACAGATTAAAATATTATTAGAAGTAAATAAGAATTAAACAATTAGAATATTTACGACAATATATATTCTCATAAAACAAATTTGGTTAAAACCCCTTACCATTCAGAGTTTCCTTTTAAATTTTATGAAAACTGCTTAGAAAATTACCATTTTTTCAAATTTTTTCCAAGATATTCGATTCAGACTTTTTTTCATAAGTTACCGAATACGATTCAGAACAAAATTATGACAAAAATTCAATTTTTTTCGCTCATGAACTGTATGAAAGGCTTATTTTAAATGCCAATATCTAGGATAGTTTTTAACGAATTGTTTTCATACTTTAAAGTAATATTTTTGTTATTAATTAAAAATTATTCCAAAAATGTTGTTTATTTTTTTTTTTAAATACTGCTACAGCTATAATAAGAAAACATAAAGCAAAAAAAATATTTTTTATTTATTTATTTTTGCAAAAATGTACTTTCATGAATGTATTGAATAATTTTTGTACAGTTATTGCATACGATAACCAAATAAAGTTACTAGCTTATAATGCCATATTTTTGATACAAGAGCACCTTAAATCACTTAACCACGGTCACTTAAATCGCTTAAAACTTTAAACTTTTCATTGATGCGTTTGAGCATGATCTAAACACCTCTCAGGTTAATTATAAAATAAAATAATTCTCTAAGCATTTCTGAAAAAATTTGAAAAAATGCAAATACTGTCTCTTTCATTATTTTACGACAGTATATATTAAGTAGTGTAATTATTGGCGTTAACTTTTTTTTTAAAAACTCTTATAAGAGTATGAAATAAAAGTATTAAAAAGTGAGAAATGTGAAAAGTTACTTTCTGTAAACTAATCCTTATATATTAATTAATTTTTAAATAATATTTAATCTTACCGATATTAAATAATAATTAATTAAATAATCTTTACTTAAATCAAATAAAATTTTATTAATTAATAGCATTTAATTCAGACTCAATTTGGTTATGAATGTTTTTTCTGATGCTTTATTTTCCTTTACTGTTTTTCAGAGCTATAAGTTAGATTCTGATTAGGGCCCTTTTTAAAGAACAATTTGAGACAAGTTAATGTCATTAACAATTTAAAAAAATCTAAAAATTTGAGAAATAAGATAATTAGTTGATTAAGTGAAGCGGTTATATAAAATTTTTAAAAATCGTACGGCGTTTTTTTAAACTCTTCATTTTATATTTGTGAAAAAAATTTTCTTCCGCCCTGTTAAGATTTTTTACCTCTGCACTTTTAGAGATGCTTTCTAATTCTTTGTAAACTGTTGCTAAAAATTGAAGACTTTAAAACTTAGATTTTTCTGAGACTTCCAACATTTTTTTTCGGATCTAATAAAGACGTAATAAAAATTATTCCTCCACCTCCCCCCCCCCCAAAAAAAATTATTTATTTAAAACTAATATTTCAGTCCAACCAGCCCACTGGTTATAAATGATTCCCTTTATATTGTAAATTTTTAGATGCAGACGTAACTTACTTGTCTGGTAAGAATAATACTAAAAAAAAGTGTCTCTCGCGGACTGATAATTTTAAAATGCAATTAACCAATCAAAAAAGTTCTCGTCTTCTCTAACTAAACCACTAGTTATTACTTTCATAGAGTTCAAAAATACGCAAATGGAAATAATTAGAATAGATATCCAAAATATTTTCATTTGAACCCATATCCAATATAACTTATTGAATGAAAGCATGTTTGGAATTCCTTTCGTTTCAACCCCTTTGACGGAAGAGTACGGTCGTTAGTGTAACTATGTGCCAAATATCCAAACATAGGCATCAGTAAGCATGCTGCTTTGAAATGTTTGATTGAATAGAAATAGAGGAATATCATAGTAAGCCAATTACTGTCCTTGTTTTTTCAGACTCATGCTATTTGATTAATATACGCCTTGCAGACGGAAGTATAGTTATTAACATAAATTAACTTCCAAATTGAAGAAGTTAGTGTCATTAGTTTTTCGTGATTTAGGGAGGAGATTAATTATAAGGTCTTATTTAAATTATCTTGACAGTATTGCACGGATTTTCTTTTTTTGTTCCTAAAAAGTACTTCCGGAATGTTAGCATTTTCTCTCACACCAATGCTATTAATGGAAGGGTTGTTAATTTCCTATTAATGGTCATTTCCCGTTTTGATAAATCTTAGCTCAATTAAGCGTTATAATATTTTGAAGAGCCTTTTTATTTAAAAATAATAGCTAAATACCCGTTCTTCGTACGGGATATAAAAAAGGAAATAATCAATAATTCAGTATTCGTATCGACTGGGATTCGAACCCGGTTCGCCTCATTGGAAGGCGAACGCTCTAGACCACAGGTGCTGACGTGATATATCCTCAATAGTAGACGGATCATGGGTTAGAATCCCTTTGCCATCAGATTAACCGCGGGAGGTTCTCGTGGTCTTCCTCTCCATGTAACGCAAATGCGGGTTAGCTCCATCAAAAAGTCCTCCACGAAGGTAAATTTCTCCCAATACTCGATCCAGGAGTTCCCTAGTCTTCTGTATTGGGTTCAAAATTACAAGGCTACGGAGTTGAACATTAGAAGTCGTAAACCCATAAAATTGGGTCGGCTGTTCAACGACGGTTATAAAATAAAATAAAACAATTCAGTATTAAAACAATAATGCAAAAAACTGAAAAACAAATATCGGATAAAATTTAAATAGTTCCATTTTTTTAAATAATTATTTGTGGCACTTCACAGGTGCTTTGTAATTTTGAACCCAATTCAGAAGACAAGGGAACTTCTGAATTAAGTATTGGGGGAAATTTTGCTTTCATGGAGGACTTTTTGATGGAACTAACCCGCATTTGCATTACATGGAGCAAAAACCTCCATTGGTTAGTCTGACAGCAAGGGGACTCTAACCGAGGATCCGTCTACCCCTCAGGATGTTTTACGTTATCCCTGTGGTCTGTGCAATTCGGGTGCGGAATTAGTATCAATCAGCCATCGCTGGGATTCGAACCCGGTTCACCTCATCGGGTGGCGAACGCTCTATCCCCTCAGCCACCACGGACCAGTCATAAGTATTAAAAATACATCATTGTTTAAAAAAAGTTGAAAGTCAAAAAAGTTGGGTACTAAGCGTAGTTTCGTAATGCGCCGAAGATGTCAAAGTAATAAATATTTCAATACCTTGACAGTGATCATAAGGAAAGATATATAGAAAATTACAAAGCTAGAAAAAGCCTCGCATATTTTCCCAAAACTGGGATAAGTAAATAAAAGGCTTATTTAACCACTTGACATATTATTAAACAAACTCTAAACTGTGCGGAATTATTAATTTCTTGATATGGAAATGATCTTTGATTGCACTGTAAACAACAACTAGCAACTGAATGTTGACAGAGATGCCAACTGCTACGGACTCGCCAACATAATAATAATAATTAAAAAAAAGCAGTAAATAACTACAAACTGAATTTATTAAACCAAGAATCACAATTGGTAAACTACCACTTTAAAATATTTATTTGCTGTCCAGAGCAAGTTGGCATCTCTGTGTTGAAGACGTCTGAGAGACGTCAATTATTGTTTCGACATAAGAAACAAATGACGTTTCCCAGACGTCTTCGTATGCCAAGGGGTTAACTGTAGATAACTTCTGTTTATACTCAAACAAAAAAGATGAAAGCTTGTTTATTTTCATTTAATGTGATTCTAAGAATCAACGAACTTCACTCACAAATAATTTATCTGGTGTCTAATTGGGTGAAACGAGACGGGACGCTCGAGATTGTTATAGGTTGAATGACAAGGGTGCGTAGAATTATGATTTTTGCAACTCATTCTAAGATCTTGCTAGGAAATACACAAGATGTCACTCGCCAATCAGGCTGCTTTTCTTCTACAGATAGTTCTTTAGCTTAATAATAAATAAAATTTATCTTGTTAATTTTGAATTAGCTTTATTAGGTTATAGATATGAAAACTAAACTTTTTTACAGATAATTTTTAGTTCAAAAAATAATAAATAATTTTTTGAACTAAAAATTATCTGGAAAAAAATGTAGTTTTTATATCTATAACCTAATAAAGCTAATTCAAAATTAACAAGATAAATTTTATTTATTTGGGATACCTGCAAGTGACGTAGTGTGGGCATCTCGATCCTGATTGGTTGTTGAAACGTGGCATTTGTTTACGTTAGAAACTCTTCTTTCTATTCTATTTCGATTAAGCCAAGCCCGTCAAGTATCAATTCTCTTAAGTGACACATTCTAAATTCTTTCTCAAAGATTTCAATTCTTTCACCATATATTTAAACATAGACTTAACACAAAGACCGGCAGGCAGCTATGTGGAACATAAACAAATTAATTATGCATCGAAGCTGCCAGGTAGACAAGATAAAAATATATCACTGTTACAATAAATTACATAAACAAATAATAAATCTAAGTTAAGTAAAAGAAGTAGGCGAGAAAGAATTATATTTCAACTAATTTGATGTGCGATACGGCTTTGTATTTAATTAACTTATCCTTAATTAACATTCCAACTTAACTTAGCAGAACTTTAATACGCAATTTTGCTAATAAAGATAAGCTAGCACTGACGTCATAGGTCACATGTGTGGGTATGGAAGGTCTTCATCTTCTTGAAGTGCAAGTATGCAATTGTATTGAAAAAAAAATAGCGCATTTTTTTGAAACTAATATTATTCACATTATTTTGTCCATTCCCTGTAAGCTGCTACATTGTAAACACGTGACGTTAGGCCCCGTTTGTTTTTTCTCAAGAAATACAAATATCTGTAAGGTTTCGTTTTCCCCATAATATAAAATATTTCTTCTTGAGCATGGAATACTTTGGTTTCAAAATATGCCTACATAATTGTTGTTTTTCTAGTTTTCAAAAATTTTTCCAGAGAAGTCTATTTGACCAGGTAATCCAAAACATTGCTAGATGGCTTCCTATTGTTTGGCAGTAAGCTATTATTACCAATCAATCTAAAGAAAAACTTTCAAAATCTTATTTTTGATCAATGTATATCTTCACTGGGTAGTGTTCCTTCACTGGCTGGTTTACCCTATATGTTAACGCTTACACACTTCAATAACAATGGATATTTTGCTACTGTTCAGTAGCTTGACCATTATTATGATGGCCCTGAATTAGTACGAGAAATAAGAGTTCAGACAACATTTGATATTGAAGGTTAATCATTATTTGATCTTGATTTTAAGCAAGGATTCAGATTTGGTAAAGAGCTGATGTACGTTAAAAAATTTTCTTCTCAATATTCATTAGTCTAGGANAATCCTAGGCTTTTGACTAAAAGATTTGGAAAATGATTTAAAAAAATGTCATTTTTTTACAATCGTATATTAAAAAAAAAATTAGCCACTATTTTTTTCTTCTATTAATAGTTTTAGCTGTGCAAAAATTTAAGAAATTTACTTTAACGCGTGTCTTATGGAAAATATGAATACATAATTTGCTCTTTACTTTACAAATAGGGTAAAAGCAATTTGATATTATTTAAGAATAAAATTTGAATTTGTTTGATCTTGATTTTAAGCAAGGATTAAGATTTGGTAAAGAGCTGATGTACGTTAAAAATTTTCTTCTCAATATTCATTCGTCTAAGAACGGTCTGAACCTTGTCCTAAACGTGCCGAGACTGCTCTGGTATTTGTAATAATTATAATGGAATTTACAGTGTAACAAACTGTTATGGAATGCACTGGAGAAGTTGCATTCATTGCAATTAATACCTCTTTAAGACGAAATGTTGAAAATGAGTAAGATATGACAACAAAACTACTAGAAAGTGGCTTGACGAAACTTTTCTTTTAAAGCGTGAAATTTTAAGCTAATTTTTAAAAATAAACTATAACATGTTTTCGTTTATATTGAAATTATTTCGTTTACTTTAAAACTGTAAAAAAATGATGTGGCGGTGTATATGTCTCCACCTTTTCTTTGAATGCGGTTAACAGTTATATCCTTTCCGACAATTCATGTTAAATAATTATAAAAATGAATTGAAACTTTTTAAAAAAAGCTTGTGAGCGAGCAAAGCCTATTGGCTTTGAAGTTTCCACGCATTACCTTATATTTTCATTGCATGTGAGTAGTATTCTAAACATTTCAACAAAGTTTTTTTTAATCTTTTCTTATCTTCGATTAAAAAAGATTGTATTTTAACTTTTATCAAAATACACTTGCGTCGAAATTTGTTTCAGTTGTTCTATCATTTATTTACAGCTTTTTTTTTTAAAGTTTTGAAATCTCTCTCTCTATACATTTATATATCTTTTCTTTTGCAGTCATTCATTTAGATGCTTTTTAACCTTTACTGATTTTTTCCCTTGTAAAAGGAATTGAAAAAGTTCATGAATAGCTCTAGACTTAACAACTCACAGAATAAATGAAAACAATACCTGTGCTTTATTATTTTGCAGAAAAAGCGTCGCACGAAGAGGCATTGGAACTCGTCCAAGCGTTTAGGTTCGATTGATAAATATAACTATAATTTTTGGGCTTCATTCTTTGATGATTTAATGCGGAAAGTAAAAGTAAAAGGAGTGGCAGATGAATGGCTTAGTAAGAGGATTTTAAGCGAAGATGAAGTTGCCCAAAATGTGTAATACGTGACGGTATAAAATAAACGTTATAAAATTTATTTTAAGTTCTTAAAATACAAAAACAAGTTTACAAATCTTGTCTTGGTTCGAGGATAATTTTATTTTGTGCGGAATATGTTTCAAACTTTTCAACAAGCAACAAAACATCTTTATTTGTATGTAAATATAGTATGACAATTCTTTTAAAGAAACGTGTTACTCATTTTTTAAAGAGGGAGATTAGGTCTTGCATTATAACGTTTATCTAAATTTAAAGGAATTGTTGATAAAAATTGTCGCGTCATTTAACTGGATAAGTTAAAAAAAATAAGATAACATAATTTTTCAGTTATGATTTAGACGTTTATTGTGTCAACTTGCTTCGTTCATGCATTCTGAAAATAAAGAAATTTAATTTCTTTCTTGTTTTTGTACATATATATACTCATTATATGTTTTTATTATTTTCATTGGAATTTTCCTTTTAATTATTTATAAAATTCAACGATGTCAAATTCAGTAAAGAAGCACAGTTCAAAACATTTGAGCTATTTTACAAGGGATTTTTCCGTAAACCATGAAGAACCTCCCGTAAAAGATGATTTGCAAGAGGGCATGAGCCAAAGGAGAATCCTGCGAAATTTATTTATTACTAGTTTATGTTATTTATTCTTTTATACTGGGTATTGGTGCCTTGGAGGTCTGCAAAGTACAATGAATAGTAATGATGGCATAGGCGATGATTCACAAGCAGTCATCAATGGTATGTCTCTACTTTCATCACTTTTCTTACCAGATTTTTTGATCGCCAAATTCGGCAGCAAGAAGGTACTGACAGCATGCACGCTGCTGGGCTGTCCTTATTTAGCCGCCAACATGTACCTGCGATGGGACACGATGATAGTGACATCTGTACTGTACGGTCTGATGAATGGACCTTTCGTAACTGCCCAAGCTGTGTATATAGAAGAACTCGCGTCCCGTTTTGAAAAAAGCGTTAATCAAAACATTGAAGTAGTTATGGTTAGTTTCTTTGGAGTTTTTACTTCTTTCACGGAATCAACATACATTTTTGGTAATATCCTCGTTTACTATGCTTTGAAACCAAATAGAGTCAATAATACCTTTATTAACGAATCAACGACTGATGATTGCGGATATTACTTCAAGCCTTACGATAATGTCACGAATTCCAATTTGGATCCTCCTCTGGAGAGCCAAAGACAGCTTTTGGTCGGTACCTTTGCCATTTTTGGAATTCTTTCAGCTCTCATCCTTGCTTTGTTTTTGGATCCTTTGAAGAACGATTTGAAAGAAGGTAGTGGAGGCAATTTTATTTTGAACCAATTTCTCTCCGCTGTAAAGCATCTGAGAAACCCGCATCAAATTCTATTAGTTCCTATTTCTATTTATATTGGAATGGAGGGTCCATTCTATGCAAATGAAATTACCCAGGTGAGTTAAATGATTCTTTTTTATTGCTATCCAATGCAAAGTAGCTAGATTAGGTTTTTAAAATTAATTCGATAAATAAAGTTTTAAATTCGAAATTTTAGGTTACTGTTACTGTTAAAAATATTTTAAACAAAAAATAATATCTTTTCAATTATAAAAATACTAACATAGTAATTTAACGGTATATTCCAAGCTTATGAGAGCTGCAATATCTTAAATTTCTCACAGTTTATGCGCAATACAAATGCGTAAAATGGACCCAAAACATATATTTTCTAATGTCTATTGCACATACATCGCTCATGGGCTGCAATAGCGGCACAACTAAATAATAATTTTGTGATAAGTGGGTTTAAAATTTTCATTGCTAATGAAAATGCATAGGAAATGCTTTAGTTTGCTTAAACGAAGATTACCTTCAAGTTGAATTATGTGTTGTGCTAGTATTGATGCTGAAAAGAATGTGTATTTTATGTTTACACCTGTTCTTAGCCAAAATGCATGTTTTTTGAGTTGTGCCACTATTGCAGCCCACGAGCAATATATTGTATTCTGTTTGTAAAATGATTCATAATTTACTTAAATGAATACTTACTCTACGAGAATCAAATATAAAACGTGTGGCATGTAGCAGTGAGTTTCCCTGTTTAAATGCACCGAAATACAACACTTTTGGATTTTTAACTGCCGAAAATAATCATTCACAGATTATTGTTATTAGACCTTTTTATTATGCAAAGCTTTTTTAAAACGTTAGACTTTTCTATGTTTTCACGCTATAAAAATGAGTTTAAATGGACCCAAAACATACATCATTATATTTTAGCATATTATTACTCATTCGCTGGTATTTTGTTAGTAAATGTATTTTTTAATTTTATTTTATGACTGCCGTTGAACAGTCGACCCAATTTTTGGGTTTACGACTACTAATGTTCAACGTCGTAGCCTTGTAATTTTGAATCAATCCAGAAGACAAAGAAACTCCTGGATCGGTACCCCCAGAGGTATTGATTTGTTATGGGAACATGGAGGACTCTGAGACTCGACAGATTTAACGTGCATCAGTCACCATTAGTAAATGTATTATAATTCTTCTTAAATTATTATTTACGCAGCGTGAATTGCGTTCTGAATAAGAAATGTGGTTTAAATTTACCTAATTTTATAGCGGCGACTTACCACTTTTAGAGATGCCGCATAACCCAACTAAAAATCAAAACTAAGAGTGCGGCGTCTTCACGTTTATTACCTTTTTTTCCCTTCACGTGTTTTTAATCAGCAATAGACTAAATCAAGTTATCAAACATATAACAAAAATGATCATTGCTATTTATAATCATCCACTAACCTTCAAATCAAATAGAATTTTATCTCAAATTTATTGATAAGAATATGCTCATAACTTGTTCGAATTTGATTGTTATAGAATTATGTAGCATTGTAACAAAAACACAATTATTTAAAAACGAAAGTAAGGGTATTACGCTATTATTTTTTGCCCTAATTTATTTTTATGAAATTTTTAAGCACGAGGTAGACGCCAGATTACACGAGCTCGCAACTAATCAAATAATTTAACATCTTTAAATTTAAAAGAAAATTAGTTTTAGGGTCATTTATTTCCAACTCATTTCCGTCGTATTAAAAAGACAAGAAAATAAAGAACCAAATAAATTTATAACCAAACTGAGGGAAAACATTACAACTTTGAAATATCATTTCCAGGAAGATTCAGGTGTTCGACATTTAATTAAGAGATTTCTAAAATCTTCTTTTAAAAACATTACCGTAAGTGATGTTAAATGATCATATTAGCCTTGAAGATTCTTAAAAATTTGGCACTTACATCAGACCCATAAGAAATTACCTCCCCTATCGAGAACATAAGCCCTCCCAGCAATGTTGGATGGGCCTAATTCTTGTTTTTTCATGGTTTTTTAGTTGAAAAGTTCAACTAAACGTGAATTAGCAAAAATCATTCGCGGTTCATATTTTACTTATAATATTGTTTAATAATATTACTTTCCTGCATTTTCACTGTTCTATTTACTTTTTCTGATTATTCACTGATCGTTTAAGTTCCGGATGACAAAAAAGGCGACTTTTTTAACAGCAAACATCCAATAAGCTATAACTTCAAAAGGTAGATTTTTCATACTTTTCAAAAGTGAGACAACTTTACGAAATTTAAAACTGTCTTACGGCATTCCATTCTTATTATATTTGCCTGCGGTATAATGTATACTGAAGCAGAAACTGTGAGAGTAATAAGGGAGAATATAAAAGTTCTTAACGCACACTTAAAATTCACTTAAGCATTAAATTTTTTATGAAACAGTTAAAAATAAAATATGTATTCTATTTAACAAATGTCAGTCGCATGACCGCTAGGTGTTTTCACAGATCACGGGTTTTTCAATGTTTCTCTACTCCACTTGAGAAAGATGGCAATGCAGGACACTCGTCACGGGTTTTCCAACGTTTCTCTACTCTACTTGAGGAAGATGGTAATGCAGGACACTCGTCACGCGTTTTCCAATGTTTCTCTACTCTACTTGAGGAAGATGGCAATGCAGGGCACTCGTTATGGGTTTTCCAATGTTTCTCCACTAGACTTGAGAAAGATAGCAATGCAGGGCACTCGTCACTGGTTTTCCAATGTTTCTCTACTCGACTTGAGGAAGATGGCAATGCAGGGCACTCGTCACGGGTTTTCCAACGTTTCTCTACTCGACTTGGGAAAGTTGGCAATGCAGGGCACTTGTCACTAGTTTTCTAATGTTTCTCTACTCGACTTGAGAAAGTTGGCAATGCAGGACACTTGTCACTAGTTTTCTAATGTTTCTCTACTCGACTTGAGAAAGATGGCAATGCAGGACACTCGTCCAAATGTGAAGCAGTGATGCAGAGAAAACGTGTAGGAGAGTAAGCAATGTTTAAACGAAAGTAATGGGCAGGGAGACAATAATTCCCTGTCAGTAACAATCCATGGTTTAAAGAAAAGTATATTCCGAGTCTTGCCACTCGAAAGATGCAAAGCCTTTTCACTACAGGAAGCATTTGGAAACTATTAACTCTTTGATTAAAATGAAAGATTATCAGTAAGTGCTTAAGGAAACACAAAAAATATAAAAGCAAAAAATATTAACCAAACAATAAGAAGATTAAAATGTATTCAAAATATTTGTGAGAGGCTCTTATTTCGAGAGCTCTTTTTGACGATGTCTGAAAGAGATCTACAACCACATGTTGCAGTCAGACTGCACTAAGGACGATGCTATCAATGCTTTTTTTAAGAGTTGAAAGTTAAATTAAAAGAAAAAGTTATTAAAAAAAATTAGCATCTCAAACAAATAAGCTTTAAGGCTAACTAATTTTTATGATATAAATTTAAAGCAGACTTAAACGAAAAAACATAATAGTTCTATCTTTCATAATTGGTAAATTTGTTTTTACGCTTAATTACATCAGTAGGGATCATTCTCATTGACTAAAGCTTGTTCACTGATCCGGTTTTCATGACACCAATACAAGTAGCATTTTCTCACCAAGAAAATGACACTACTAAAATTAAAATCGTCTTCTCAAAATCATGTCCCTTAACATTTTGAAGTCAATGGAGGTAATCCCTAAGAACAACCAATCTCCATTAATAACCATTTTATTGTGGAACAGAAAACGATCGCTCCCAAGAGGTTTCACTGTATATAATATTTTCTCCTGTTTTACATATGTTTTTTTTCCAGGCATATATTGCATGTTTTTGGGGTGTTCATCATGTTGGTATTGTCACCCTTTTTTTCGGTGTCGGCGGCGCAATCATGTCTCTACTCGTGGGACCATTGGTGAAGTACATCTCTCAGATAGCCGTGATCATTTTAGGAGCATGTCTTAATGTAACTATCTGTTTGTTATTATTTGTATGGAAACCATCGCCAGAGACAACTGGCATTTACTTTGTCATCGCAGGAATATGGGGAATGGGAGATGCCATTTGGTGGTCACAAATACCAGGTGAGCGAATTCAAGAAAATGTTTGTAATGTTTAGAAAAAAATAAGAAAATAACAGCAATCATTTTATTCCTTTGAAAAGATAAATTAAACTAATGCTTCCATTCTTACCATAACATGTTTTTTTACCCCTGAAATTTTAAGGTTTTCAAAATGTCTAAATAAAGTTGTTCAGCTCTCAATTTCATTTTTATTGCCCAATTTTTAATATATATGATAGAGACAATTTGAAAGTTTGAGCCATCCCGTTTATAAATTCTATATATTTTTATAGGCCTTTTATATCTAACACTTTTTGCAGTTTTTATTGCTAAAACCAGAACCTCCAGTTTTTACAGAGATTAATCTTGATCATAATTAATTTAGTTAAAAGTTATTAGATAAAAGTTATTTTTTTCTTAAATATTTGCAATATATAATACATACGATTATTTGATTTAATTCTGGACAAAGACTGTAAAATTATAAATTAAGAGCAATGATAACGAGAAACTCTATATATAGTATGGGCTACTGTAAGGGCCTGAAGTCTGATAAGTCCTGAGTTTTACCGATAAAACTTATGGTTTACCAAAGTGGCTAGTTAACTTCTACATTTTATCGCTAAGGCTTGGTAAAAGGAAGAAAAGGAATCATAATAAAACTTTCTTCGGATTTTTACGAAGCCATTTTGGTAAAAGCCGATAAAACGTAGGATTTAGCATACTTCGGGTTTTTATCATAACATATGTATTTAATATTGCTCCTTGTATTCAATAAGCAGTGTATTGGTTAGTTTTATTTAATAGTTTCTGTTCTTTATTTTAGCCCTCTACGGACTGATGTTCCCAAAAGATAGAGAAGCTGGTTTTTCAAACTTATATTTTTGGAGCTTTTTTGGATCTTTTCTAAGCTACTCTTATGCTAATTACCTTTCTATTTCTGTCAAAATAAATATCCTGATGGCATCCCTACTGATTAGTATGGTCTGTTACCTAGTAGGCCAGTTCAAGATGAAATGTTCTGCCCGGAGAGAATATATTGCAATCGAAGATGATTAATGATAGCAAACATTTTAGAATCTCAAAACTGATGCTTCAACATTCTTGTATATAGAAAAAGTGCTTGTAAATAACGATACTCGGTGTGACATTAATAAAAACAAAAATCACCAAATTCCTTGTATTTATTGTCGTGTATGCTTAAAACATGGAGCACTTAGGTTTCAATTTAGGCTAATGGCATCACTTTTGAACAGTGTGTATGTTACCGAAATCATTTGTTCTACAGAATATATAGTTTATGCGCAGATTAACTAGAGTGATTCATTAAAGAGCCGAAAATTGTTTTATTTCCTGAATTACCTAGGTAGGTAGCAAGGTAGCACATTACCTACTAGGCACTCATAAAAGTGAAAATTAGATATTTGGTCGATCTTAAATTAACAGAATATTTTTCATACTCAAAATGCATAAATTGATTTTTTTCATTATTTATTGAATTGAATTTATTGAATTAACTTTTATTTATTTTTCGATATCGAAAGAATCAAGTTATTACAATCAAACAATCAGCAAATCAGTTGATGTTGATGGATTGAATCATCAATCTCTGAAAACTACAATGCAGATAATCAAACGGTTTAAAATATTAATAAAAGTAAATAAGAATTAAATAATGAAAATATTTACGACAATATATATTTTCTTAAACCAAATGTGTTTAAAACCCCTTACCATTCAGAGTTTTCTTTTAAATTTTACAAAAACTGCTTAGAAACTTGCTATTTTTTTATTTGAATTTTCAAGATATTCATATCAGACTTTTTTTTCATAAGTTACCGGATACGATTCAGAACAAAATTATGACAAAAATTAAATATTTTCCGCTAAGGAACAGTATGAAAAGTTTATTTTAAATGCCAATATCTGGGGCAGTTTTTAGCAAATTTTTTTCATACTTTAGAATAATATTTTTGTTATTAATTAAAAATCACTCCAAAATGTTGTTTAATTTAATTTTTTTAAAAAAAACCGGAAAATAAGAGATATAATCTTTTCATCAACCTACACGATTGTATCCGCAAAAAAGAGTGCTAATTGCCAAGGTAACTTTCTTCGTGTTTTCTTGTATTTATTTATTTTGTTATATATATATATTTTTTTTCTTCTTTAATTTATTTATTTTTGTAAAAATGTTCATACCTTCATGAATGTATGGAATAATTTTTGTGCAGCTATTGCATATAATAATCAAATAAAGTTACAAGCTTATATTGCTAGATTTTTGATACAAAACACCTTTTTCGTTCGCAATTTATTGCCGGTCTTTCAAATCTCTGAAAACTTTAAACTTTTTATTGATGCGTTTGAACAACCACATGATCTAAACACCTCTCGGGTTAGTTATAAAACAAAATAATTCTCTAAGTATTTCTGAAAAAAATTTGAAAAAATGCCAAGAACTGAAACTGTCTCTTTCATTATTGTGCGGCAGTATGTATTAAGTGTAATTCTTGGAGTTAAAATTTTTTAAAACTCTTATAAGAGTATGAAATAAAAGTATTAAAAAGTATGAAACGTGAAAAGTTCCTTTCCACAAATTCATCCTTGTATATTAATTAATTTGTATATAATATTTAATTAATTAAATTATAAGTTATTAATTATTAATTAAATAATAATTAATAAAGAATAATTAATTAAATTATAATTAATTAAATAAAATTTTATTAATTAATAGTATTTAATTCAGACTCAATTTGGTAATGGAGTTTTTTTCCCCTGTGGTTTTTTCTGAAGCTTTATTTTCCTTTACTACTTTTCAGAGCTATTTTTCCGTAACCTATGAAAATATCAATTCCCAAGCATGACGAATACTGTTTCTTATAACGTTGTTAATAATTAAAAAAAAATCGAAAAATTTGAGAAATACGAGAATGTTGATTAAGTAAAGGGGTTTTATAAAATTTTTAAAGATCGTAAGGCATTCTTTTTTTTTTAAAAAAAAAAAAAAAAAAAAAAAAAAACTCTTTATTATATATTTGTGAATATTTTTTTTCTCTCCCCTGTGAAGATTTTTTACCTCTTCACCTTTAGAGATACTTTCTAATTCTTTGTAAACTGTTACCAAAAAATTGAAAACTTAGATTTTTTTGAGATCTCCAACATCTTTTTGGGATCTAATAAAGATGTAATGAAAATTATTGCTCCACCTCTCTCTCTCTCCCCCCCCCCAAATTTTTTTTTTGAAACTAATATTTCAGTCCAACCAACCCACTGGTTATAAATGATTCTCCTTATTTTGAAAGTTTTGAGTTGAAGACGTAATGAACTTTTCTGGTAAGATAAATACTAAAGAAAAGTATATCTCGTGGACTGATAATTTTAAAATGTAACTAACCAATCAAAAAAATTCTCGTCTTACCTAACTAAACCATTAGTTATTACTTGATTTAGATACTTCATAGAATTCAAAAATATGCAGATGGAAATAAAAGAATACACATCCAAAATATTTTTATTTGAACCTAGATCCAATATAACTTATTGAATGAAAGCATGTTTGGAATTCCTTTCGTTTCTACCCCTTTGACAGACTTTGTAACTGTGTGCCAAATATCCAAACATAGACATCAG